TCTATAAATGTTACTATCATATTTAATTTGGTCTACTCCGTTTTCTAAAGGAAGATTATTTCCAACTTAGTCCTGCTAATTTTTAATATTTATTTATTTATTTATTTTTTAAAGCTAATATATCCCACACATTTTCGGTGTTAATTTATTAAGAACAGAGAAAAAAAGTCAAATACTCGGCCGTGTATGAATCTTAGTGGCTTCATAGATGGTGTCCTTTTTCAATGTATATTCCGCTAAGTAAACTGTATTTAGTTTATATTAAAAGAGCTATTTCCGTATCAAAATTGTGATCACAAAGATTTCGATGTTTCACAAGCGTGTTGTTTGTGTTATTTCATTTTAATTCCCTTATATTTGAAGATTCAGTTCTTTAAATTCGGAAAACCTTCGTCATTTTATTTTGCCGAGCATTTTTTTTTAATATTCGGTTGTGTAAATATCGGCTTCATGTAATGTTGTCTTTGTTCTACATTGATTATATATTTAACTGATTTTGAAGTGTTCGTGATAATCTTTATATTGATATTACCTATTTTTTCTAATTTTAAGCTTTACTACTGTTTTCATTAGTTCTGTAACAAAGTAAATGGTTAAGAAATAACAAAACAAAAGGTTGCAATTAAATCGTGTATTGACCAGTAGATAAAACAGAAAATTATTACACGACTTGGGAGTGTGTGTCGGTTGACCAGCGTTCAATCTATACTACTGTTAATATTTAGTAGCTCTCCTCACGAGAATAGATGTGGCAAAAGGCCGAGGTTAACATAGGCCATCCGAGCCCGTAGGCTCTGCCAAAAAATCCCAGTAGAACCCAGACAAACCGGTTCAGGTCTGTCTACCTCCCCGGACGAGAATATGACATTCGACACAGCCTCGTCGGGGTTCCTCTCTGCCCAAAAGCAGAGAGTTCGACAGCAGGTTCGAACTGTCACAGCCTCGGTAAAACAATCTATACTACTGTTATATTTAACAGTCTCCCCAGAAGCAATGTATGTGGTACAAGGCCGAGTTTAACGTGGGTTTCTCCGAGCCCGTAAGCTCGGCCAAAAATATTCCCTTTGAACCCGCCTAGAAGGGTTCAGGGACTGTCTACCTCCCCGGACGAAGCTTTGCTCTGCGGCAAAGCTTCGTCCGAGTTACTCGACTATTATGTTTAACAGCACCCCACCACGAGGGATGTATGTGGCACAAGGCCGAGTTTACCGTGGGTTTTCCGAGCCCGTAAGCTCGGCCAAAAATATTCCCTTTGAACCCGTGTATACCTTCTCGGAGGAAGCTTTGCGATGGGCAAAGTTTCGCCCGAGTTCCTCTCCGCCGAAGCGGAGAGTTCGACAGCAATAAACAGTCTGTGTAACCGTCCCCCCGAGGCATACTTTTCTAATAATTTTACAGTAAGTGGAAGAGTCCACAATAGACTCATTGGAGGGAGGACACCAGAAAAATTATTTTTGGTGTTTGTAATATAAAGAATCTTGTTTTCTGTAGTCGGATATATTTTCTTTTGTTGTTTTGTGTATTTGCTAGGTAATTCTCTTTTTTTTTTTGCATTGTAAAAGAGACAAAAATGATTCTAAAAATTTCTAAAATGTAGTAGGCTATGGTATGGCTGATAGGCGAATGCAGACTTAGGCAAATTTCTTGTATGTAAAAATCTCCTAATGAATGTGAAAAATCTCTGGTTTGTATAACATTCATGATTTTTTTTTATCAGTAATGAGATGGTTATTTTTGTTTTTTGATGAGTTTCTTCAGAAAATCTAAATATTTTTAAACTTGTATGCTTTTATGTAATTATCCATCATATTTTTATGTGTTTCAGTTTGTTGATCGCCAAAATTTTTAAGTTGTGAAGTTCTGATTATTCGTAAAGGAGGCATTAATACCTATGCTACGTCTTTTGCTAATTTGTTCTGGGGAGCTAATAGAACCAGAAATAATACCAGAGATAATACCAAGGATAATACCAAGGTTAATACCAGAGATAATACCAGAGATAATACCAGAGATAATGCCAAGGATAAAATACCAGAGATAATACGAGGGATAATACCAGAGATAATACCAAGGATAATACCAAGGTTAATACCAGATATAATACCAGAGATAATACCAGAGATAATACCAAGGATAATACCAGAGATAATACCAAGGATAATACCAAGGTTAATACCAGATATAATACCAGAGATAATACCAAGGATAATACCAAGGATAATACCAGAGATAATACCAGAGGTAATACCAAGGATAATACGAGTGATAATACCAGAGATAATACCAGAGATAATACGAGGGATAATACCAGAGATAATACCAAGGATAATACCAGAGAAAATATCAGGGATAATACCAGAGATAATACCAGGGATCATAGGTCGCTTTCAAGTATTGGGTTTGTGTGTTTTTAGTAAACCATAGAGTCCCTGTACCTTTTATGATATTCTATTAAGATAAACATATTTATCACAAACATAAAATAATAGTTTAAAAATAAGCAATTTAAAAAAAAAAAAACTTAGTTAATTTTACATTTGAAGCCAAACACGGAATATATATAAAAAACAAAAAAACAAATATCCCCCTAAATGATTTCGAAAAAACCCGAAATTTTTCAAAAAATGATATACAAATATAAAATGTGCTAAAATTAAACAATGTTCCCAATTTATTTGCGTGCCGCAGAAATCTTTGGAGTCACAATATTGACAAGGAAAACATAGTTTTAAGAATAAATTGAAGATTTCTCGGCAGAAGATGTAATGAAGTGACATTTGGTTAATAAAATACGACGATGTTATTTCAGATTATCAATTGGATTATTAAATTAATACTCCAAAAATGGAGGGTAGATAAATTAAATAAAGAAACAGAAATAAAAGAAATGTTTTGACATTATCTAAAATCTAATATCTGTAACGACGCAAGGAAATTAAATATCACGTGTCCAAACGCTTAAATTGAATCGCGTTTCCACGAGTAAATTAATGTTTATCTTTTGTGAAACAGATATTTTCTGACGATGCTCGTACGTCATCGAAACATCTCCATGCACATTTTTTCCAGGCTGCCTCATATGTTATCTTGGTGAAATTAACCGTATCAATACAGAAAACATTGGAATTCACTGGTTGAACACTTAGCCTTATTAACGGTCGAAATTTTTATAGTTTATATTAAAACAGTTTTCAAAAATAAAAAATTCTGAAGCCCACCAATTGTTTAATTTGTTGATTTATTGTTCGCCCGTTTCTGGAGGACATAACGGCCGAAACTTTGTGATAACAACAACAAGGATAAGGACAATAGCGTAAGACCTTGTGGCTGTTGCAGTACTCGGAAGCAGCAAAAAATCACCGAAGAAAAACAAACGTGAATTTGTTTTTTCTTTTCTTTTTTTCGGGAATTCCCCAACTTATAGTTTAACGAGAAAATGTCTTTTTCTCTTACAGGGCAATTCAATATGTCTACACATATGTAGACGATTTAAACGATAATCATCGGTGATGTTTCTCCATTTTCAGAGCGTTTAATAATGTCTAATTTCACTTCCGTGGTCATGGCTTTCTCTTTCTTCGAAGCACCACTATCAGAAGATATTACACTAATACTGAGAGCCATAATGAAGGGGAATAAATTTCCACAAACATAACACAAACGAAAGATAGCGAATGGACAATCGAATATGGCGTACAACCAGGAACTTACCCACGCCACCGTATGTACGAGGCAAAGAGAATAAGTCAAAACAAGTTCAAGAGAGATTGTGGCGTAAGCACGAATCGTCGTAGGCCGGGACTATCGTAAACCGAATATTTACTGTATTTGTAGTAAATACGAACCATTTATGATCTTCAAAAACTGATATGTTGCTATAGTTTTTATATTTAAAATGCGACATATCATACAGTATTAATGTTGAATAGGGTGTTTAAAAGCATCATTTTTCTTTTTACATTTACTGTTTTCCTTAACAAAATTTTTTTGCTTGTCTTCACAGCATGACCCTCCTCGAAACGATTTTCTGAGAATTTAAAAAATAGTTAGTAATCATTAACAGTCTGTTTCATAAGAATTCGCACACTTATTTTTTTTAATAAAATTCACGCAAATAAAAACTTTTAACTCCAAACTATAATTTCTTTGTTTTAGATTATAATATTTTAGACTATGGTACAGTTCATATTGATGTATACATAAAAAAAATTTTACAAGCACACAAATTTACTTCTGATCCAGTAGAGAGCGGTAGTTAAAAGCTAATAATTGGTTGATAAATGGTCGTTGTCGTGGTGTAAAAACAACATTAAATATACATTTATGGTTTAATTACGGGTCTTGCTGATACATTTGTTTCTCAGGAAATACGATAGCCGAAGGTCCTAACAAAAATAAATTTATAAATTACAATAATAAGAGAGACTAAATCGATAGGCATTAATCTTAAAAATATCAATAGGGAATAAAGTTTGAGCAGGAACATTATATTAAAAGGCTAAAAAGAAAAACAATGTTAACATATTGCTGATTTTCGGTCGAATCAATAAAGTTATTAAAAGGTGACTATAAAAAAACATTCAGAATTCGACAGGCGGATCTTAAATGTATCAGATATATGTAAATAGACTAGGAAGGATCGATTTAAAAATATAGAAAAATCTCCTTATAACAAGAATAACAAAGAAGATAATAGGAGAATTTTGACAAAGAATGATTAAGTCATTTACCTTGCGGCTCTAGTGTATTCAGGGTTAATGATAATGAATGCTATCGAATCGATACGTCTGGGAAAATCTCGTTCATTGCCGAGAGGCAAAAATGTGATCAGTGTTCCACTATTATAATTGGTCACATGGCCATCTTTGATATGAGACAAGAATCAAAGAAAAGGAATTACAGGCAGAGAGCAAAAATAAATTGAAAAGAAGCATGAATGAATAAAAAGGAATTAAAAAATATAATAAGCGATTCAAGAATAGAGAGAATGCATGATGGCATTAAAAGAATGAAAGAAAGCGAATGAGAAAAAAATCTAAGTAAAAGAGTAGATAACAAGTACGGAAAGAAAGAAGAAAATAAATAAATAAATAAATAAATAAATAAATAAAGAAAGAAAGAAAGAAAGAAAGTCGAAGTAAGTAAAAGAGAAAAAAATGATTTAAGGAAATATAATATGCATCTGCTGAAAGACGGTTTACAAGAGACAAAAATATTAAAGGGAAAAAAGAAAATGGATATTTAAAAAAAAACGAATAGAATACTTGAAAAGAAAGAAAAAAGAAAGAAAATGAAGACGAAGTAAGAAAAAGAAAGCAAACTACAATATATGAGCAGGAGAGGAACAAAGAAATTTATTAAAAACGTAAATATTAAGGAAATCTAAAACAACATAACAAATATCATGCTAACAAAAATCAGGAGGGTTCTCTAGAAAGAAAGAAAGAAAGAAAGAAAGAAAGAAAGAAAGAAAGAAAGAAGAGAAACGAATGCAAGAATTAAAGCGAATAAGCCAAATTTTAAGTAAACGAAGAAATGAGGTACGAAAAGAAGAAGAAAAAAAACAAATAAGCCAAATTTTAAGCAAATGTGGAGATGAAATATGAAAGAAAGAATGAAAAAAAAAGAAAGCGAATAATCCTAATGATGAGATGAGTTGCAAAAGCGAGAAAGAAACCAAATTTTAACTAAAAGAAGATATGAGATACGAAAGAAAGAAAGAAAGCAAATAAGCCAAATTTTAATAGAAAAATAAAGAGATGAGAAACGAAAGAAAGAAAGAAAGAAAGGAATAAGCAAATTTTAAGCAAGTGCCGAGACGAGATACGAAAGAAAGAAAGGATTAATTTGAATTTTAAGCAAATCAGGAGGTGAGGTACGAAATATAGAAAGAACGAAAGCGAATAAGCCAAATTTTAAGCAAATGAGGAGATGAGAAAGAAAGATATTAGCACAATTTTCAGCAAATGACGATAAAAAGAAAAAGACGATAGAAAGAAAACTAGCGAATAAGCCAAATTTTAAGCAAATGAGGAGATGATATGCGAAAAAAAGAAAGAAAGCGAATAAGCAAAATTTTAATCGAATGATAAGATGAAATACGAAAGAAAGAAAGAAAATCGAATACGACAATTTGAAGCATATGTAGAGATAAGAAATATTGAATGAAAGAAAGGAAGGAAGAAAGAAAGGAAGAAAGAAAGAAGCGAATACGACTAATTTGAAGCAAATGAAGAGATAAGAAAGAAAGAAAGAAAGAAAGAAAGAATCAAAATTTTAAGGCAATGAGAAGATGAGATATACAAGAAAGAAAGAATGTAATAAGCCAAATTTTAACCAAATGAGGTGATAACGCATAAGAAAGAAAAAAAATCTTTAAAAATCAAATTAAAAATGTTAATTCAAAAGACATCATAGGGTAAATGAAACGAAAGGCGAAAATTAAAAGAAAGAAATGGAAGGCCATGATAGAAATTTAAAGTACGAACAAAAGAAAAAAGGATATAAAGAAAAAAACAAACTTGAAGTGAAAATAGCAAAAGATATTCTGATTAAAAAGAAAATCTTAGATGCCATAAAAAATATGATGATAAAGCGTGTTAAAATTGCACAAGTTAGTTTAACTATGTGCCTGCTTGGGCTGATTGGTAGACATCGCTATTTTGTCATTCATCTAACTGGAGACAGGACTCCAGGGAATTAATGTCATACTCATGGACTTGGCAAACATCTTCACAGACATTAACATATTTATTTATTTATTTTTTTAGATTTCGTTTGTATTCACAGTCGAAGTAAACGAATGATCTATTTTTACAATAAATGAATAAGAAACCTGCTGAGAGACTATGTGTCTCTTTCGGTTTATAATCTCATCAATTCCCCCAGGCTTGCAAGTTCACGTTTCTCTATCCCGTTTGTGTAATTGTATCTATCCCTTTGTATGCAAAGCAACTAGTTTTATTTCTTTGAAATGGCCCCCACGTTATATTTTAAAGTCTTCGCGTCGATCTTTGGGATTACAAATGTCAGTGAGTATCTTTTTAATCGCATGAAAAAAAATTCAGCATATATATAGACAAGAAAAAAATCACAAGATGGATAGGAAACTCGGCGTAATATCATGAAACTTGTATTCTAAATCATTAACTCACAGATTTCTTTTGAATAAGATGTTGTATGAGAATTGGTCGGACGCCCGCACACACACACACACACACACACACACACACACACACACACACACACACACACACTCATACACACAAAATATACAAGTCCAATGGGCAAATCAGTGGTAAACAGTCCATAGGCAAATCAATTCAACAAATGCTGACTATCACCTTTACTCAATCTCAAATAAGCAACTCCTCTCTTCAAAAAACAAGACCCTCGTTTGAATGAGCGTATCGTGCTTTTATGTACCTGACCAGCCATCGCTCAGCCAATGAGCGCCCAGAACTAGCCAATAAAAATGGCTACAAGCGACACCACGACTTCCGTCCACACGAAGTGCTCACCGATTCACCTTCAGTCCGAAGTTCGCCAATTCGCCATCCTCACATTCCATTGCGAAACATACACGTGAACCTGGCCCCTTTGGGTCGCCGAGAAAAGTCTCCGCTACAGATGAGATGTTCAAAACTCCCACCTCGATCAAAGCAGGGTTCCCAAAATACAATCGGATGTCTGTCCATTCTTTTTTAGATGCTGTGTCATTTCATCATCCACCTTGTGTTTTAGTAACTTATTTATCATGTTTGAACGTTTCTTACTGCGAATAATGTACAAACACACGCGCGCCAAATATACACACATATAAATCTATATTATCAATGAGGTTATAATTCTTTGTCATAAACTGACTGCATATGTCTTTGCTTATGTAATATGCATCTGTCTCTAGTGAGTGCGAAATAATAATATCTCTCTTTACATACTCCCTTCAAATTCAGAAGACTAAGGAAAAAAAAACAAAATATTTCGCCAGCCTAAGTGATTTTTTTCCAATAATGAAAACCTTACCTTCACAGAGATTAATCGCCGAGCTGGGAAGAAGATGGAAATAAATACGAGATTCTATGTAAAAATGTTTTCGACCTATAAAAACCTTATTTTTACAGAAATTATCCATTGATCTTAGAAGAAGAGAGCAGAGCCTATGCCTAATTCCTTTTGGTATAAAATGAGGAAAAAAAATAAATTAATAACTGAAGATTTTCTGACGTCATGTGAAACGTTTCGTTTCTGTTCACCGCATCAAGCGTCAAATAACTTGTTTTTAGCCAACCACGCAGCACTTCAAAGAATCTTCCTTCAACAATCCAAGAAAGCTATGTATTTCAAACTATCCCTTTTCGCCTACTTTTGAACGTATGCAATCCGTATATCTCATCTGTGACCAATGAACTCTCTTGCCTTTGTTTTAAATATTTTTAATATTATTTTGTGTCTGATCATTTGATCTGTTTTATGAAGATTTTCTCTTTATGAAAGTACGTTAGAACAACAGACGTTAAAATGGCTGATTTATTTTCCAGAAACGAGCTACTGACATAACTTCAAGCGTGTAAATTCGTAAATAATTTCCTGATTTTGTTTTATTAAAATTACCTGTGTGTTTCCTCGTTATTATCTGCCTCCATTAATCATATTAGCGTGAGTAAACAAACTGCTCATTTTAACACCTAAGTCTCACGTAAATATATGTATGCATCACTTATATTTCTATTATACAATTTAATGCATACACACAGATATATAAATGCACATTCACACAAAATTTGGCGGTGTTTAAATAAACTGAATAATACATTGACCGTCCACAATGTGGACAATCCTAAGCATTGGTTGACCAATAAAATACATTTAGGGAGTAGAAAAAAACGCTATTTTTAAAACCTAAAATATCAGATGATTATAAAATTTTTATTGAACTTTTCGGGATGTATTTGGTAATAAATAAAATTATTTTTAAATGTTTTTTTTTTTAAATTTTATCGAAATATTTTTAGGTTTGTCATTAAATTAAATAGATTTGCGCCTGTGCAAACGTACACAGAATTTGAATGAAATGAAATATACATCTTTGTCGTGAGGGTTCATTTCCCTTGCACTATGGTAAAAAGGAGAAGAGGTTTCTGGTGCCCCATAAAACTTTCAACCCTTTTCCGCACAAAATCATTAGTTTTTGTTGCTAATAGAAAACGCAAAGGAGTTTTCTTCTCGGCACTGTTAAACGGAGAAAAATGGTGTAGTTTGGACACATTATAAGGCACGACAGCCTGTGCAAGACCATCATTTCAAGACAGCGTTAAAGGTGGAATTAGGAGAAAACGACAACACAAAAACTGTTTGGACAATGTCAAAAATTGGGCAGGAATGACTATACCGGAATTTCTGTTGACTGCCGTTAGTAGACCGCTGTAGAAAAGAGTTAGAGTGGCTTATGCATTCGGATCCACCATATGATTAGTTAGAGTGATGATGATGATGATGATGATGATGATGATGATGATGATAGAAAAAAGCCTTTGGCAAATCGAAATGTGTAAAAGCCAAAATGTGTAAAAGCCAAAATGTGTAAAAGCCAAAATGTGTATCCCTTTGAAGTCATTTTTATCGCGGCTTCTGTACTACATAATAGCCATACAAATTATCAATTTAAACCTTAAATTTGATCTTATCGAAGTGATATACCCTGAGGTAGTATAAACGTACACACACACATACACACACACACACACACACACACACAAACATATATATATATATATATATATATACATGTACGTATACACACACATATATATATAAGTATGTATACACATATATAAACTATATATATATATATATATATATATATATATATATATATATATATATATATATATAGATAGATGTATGTATGTATGTGTGTGGGCATAGTAAGGTTCAGCCTGTAAAGGCTCGAGAGCCACTCGGCAGAGAGGGTTACGTTTGGAGGCAGTTTGTTCGGATAGGAGTGGAAGATAACGGCTAACCTTAGACTTGAACAGGTTAAGATTGTAGTGTTAAGGGAAACATCCTCATGGGAGTCGTTTTCACAGAGCAATTGTTCGCGGGAAGAAGCCGTTCGGGTGGAACTTAATTCTCACCGATGGAATACGGTGGAAATATGGGTGGTTTGCTACAATGTAAATGGTATGGCGGGTCGGGGCTGTTAGAACTGACGGAACCAAGGAATGTAGTGAGAAACAAGTATATGACGGTGTATATATATATATATATATATATATATATATATATATATATATATATATATATATATATATATATATATACCTGTAACCGGAGGGAGAAGAAGAGGATTAATTAGAGGGATGGTGAAGTAGGGGATAGCGGCTCGGATTGAGTAATCAGAGAGCTGGAATTCCAGTCGACTCCAGATAAATAGCAGCGCAGACTGAGTTCTATACCTTTGGAAGGCCACTGGTCTAGGAGAATGGCAACTGAATTCAAAACCTGTGAAGGGTCGTTTGGGGAACAGGTTTCTGTATCCGGACCTCCAAAAAGTGTGGTTGGTTCTACACAAAACCTTGACCACTATAATCAAATCCTATGTGCTGGGATCTAGCAGTCGGTTCCTAGGAACGGAGCTGCTTAACCCTCATACATCGAATACGACAGGAGAGTCCATCATATATTAATATTTTATTTAAAAATATTATAAACATATATATATATGTGTGTGTGTGTGTGTGGGCATGTGTTTGTGTGTTTTTCTGTGCGTGTGTGTGAACATGTGTGCGTGTATGCTTCAGTGTATATGTGATTGTGCATGTGTGAGAGCATGCTTGAGTGTGCATGCATATATATATATATATATATATATATATAGTAAAAAAAAAAAAATCAGGTGAATCACTTTTATCGAACAGCAATCTGTATATATATATATATATATATATATATATATATATATATATATATATATATACAGTGAACAGCATGATATATATATATATATATATATATATATATATATATATATATATATATATATATATATATATATATACAGTGTTGTTCGATAAAAGTGATTCACCTGATTTTTTTACTAAATATTCTCTTATAAAAACATATATGGAGCATGTTGCTCAACTGCCTTCTCGAGAGCCTGTACTTTATAATGCTCCATAAGTTTTTCTATGGGGTTGAGGTCAGGAGATTGGGGCTCCCATTTCATAACACTCCCCTACTTCTCATCAACGTTTTCCTTCATCATTTTTTTTATTTGTGACAGTGAGCATTATCCTGCATAAAAATGAGCTTGGTGGGGGCGATTTGCACCCTTTCAGCAGAAGGGGGCAGACAAA